GGGAACCAGGTGAAGCTACAGGTGTGTATCTAAGAGGGAACCAGGTAAAGCTACAGGTGTGTATCTAAGAGGGAACCAGGTGAAGCTACAGGTGTTTATCTAAGAGGGAACCAGGTAAAGCTACAGGTGTGTATCTAAGAGGGAACCAGGTGAGACTACAGGTGTGTATCTAAGAGGGAACCAGGTGAAGCTACAGGTGTGTATCTAAGAGGGAACCAGGTGAAGCTACAGGTGTGTATCTAAGAGGGAACCAGGTGAAGCTACAGGTGTGTATCTAAGAGGGAACCAGGTGAAGCTACAGGTGTGTATCTAAGAGGGAACCAGGTGAAGCTACAGGTGTGTATCTAAGAGGGAACCAGGTGAAGCTACAGGTGTGTATCTAAGAGGGAACCAGGTAAAGCTACAGGTGTGTATCTAAGAGGGAACCAGGTAAAGCTACAGGTGTGTATCTAAGAGGGAACCAGGTGAAGCTACAGGTGTTTATCTAAGAGGGAACCAGGTGAAGCTACAGGTGTGTATCTAAGAGGGAACCAGGTAAAGCTACAGGTGTGTATCTAAGAGGGAACAAGGTGAAACTAAAGGTGTGTATCTAAGAGGGAACCAGGTGAAGCTACAGGTGTGTATCTAAGAGGGAACCAGGTAAAGCTACAGGTGTGTATCTAAGAGGGAACCAGGCGAAGCTACAGGTGTATATCTAAGAGGGAACCAGGTAAAGCTACAGGTGTGTATCTAAGAGGGGACCAGGTAAAGCTACAGGTGTGTATCTAAGAGGGGACCAGGTAAAGCTACAGGTGTGTATCTAAGAGGGAACCAGGTAAAGCTACAGGTGTGTATCTAAGAGGGAACCAGGTAAAGCTACAGGTGTGTATCTAAGAGGGAACCAGGTGAAGCTATAGGTGTGTATCTAAGAGGGAACCAGGTGAAGCTACAGGTGTGTATCTAAGAGGGAACCAGGTAAAGCTGCAGGTGTGTATCTAAGAGGGAACCAGGTGAAGCTACAGGTGTGTATCTAAGAGGGAACCAGGTAAAGCTACAGGTGTGTATCTAAGAGGGAACCAGGTGAAGCTACAGGTGTGTATCTAAGAGGGAACCAGGTGAAGCTACAGGTGTTTATCTAAGAGGGAACCAGGTGAAGCTACAGGTGTGTATCTAAGAGGGAACCAGGTGAAGCTACAGGTGTTTATCTAAGAGGGAACCAGGTGAAGCTACAGGTGTGTATCTAAGAGGGAACCAGGTGAAGCTACAGGTGTGTATCTAAGAGGGAACCAGGTGAAGCTACAGGTGTTTATCTAAGAGGGAACCAGGTGAAGCTACAGGTGTGTATCTAAGAGGGAACCAGGTGAAGCTACAGGTGTGTATCTAAGAGGGAACCAGGTGAAGCTACAGGTGTGTATCTAGGAGGTTCCGGTTCTGACCCGGATGTCCGGCTCCCCCCTCAGGCAGTACGGCTGATTCTGGTACTGCTGGATCTCTCCTGTGATCTCTGCCACCTTCCTCCTCTTGCTGAAGTTGATCAGATCTTTCCCGTGTCGGCGCAGAAAGTCCGGGTTCCCCTCCTCCGTCTTCAGGATGTTAGTCAGGTAGATACCTGTGGGACAGACAGGTGAGAGACAGACAGGTGAGTGACAGACAGGTGAGAGACAGACAAGTGAGTGAGTGACAGGTGAGAGACAGAAAGGTGAGAAATACAGACAGGTGAGTGACAGACAGGTGAGAGACAGACAGGTGAGAGACAGACAGGTGAGTGAGTGACAGGTGAGAGACAGACAGGTGAGTGAGTGACAGGTGAGAGATGGACAGGTGAGAGACAGACAGGTGAGAGACAGACAGGTGAGTGAGTGACATGTGAGAGACAGACAGGTGAGTGACGGACAGGTGAGTGAGTGACAGGTGAGAGACAGACAGGTGAGTGACAGACAGGTGAGTGAGTGACAAGTGAGAGACGGACAGGTGAGAGACAGACAGGTGAGTGAGTGACAGGTGAGAGAGAGACAGGTGAGTGACAGACAGGTGAGTGACGGACAGGTGAGTGAGTGACAGGTGAGTGACAGACAGGTGAGTGACAGACAGGTGATAGACAGACAGGTGAGTGACAGATAGGTGAGTGACAGACAGGTGAGTGACAGGTGAGAGACAGACAGGTGAGTGACAGACAGGTGAGTGACAGGTGAGAGACAGACAGGTGAGTGACAGACAGGTGAGAGACAGACAAGTGAGTGAGTGACAGGTGAGAGACAGAAAGGTGAGAAATACAGACAGGTGAGTGACAGACAGGTGAGAGACAGACAGGTGAGAGACAGACAGGTGAGTGAGTGACAGGTGAGAGACAGACAGGTGAGTGAGTGACAGGTGAGTGACAGACAGGTGAGTGACAGACAGGTGATAGACAGACAGGTGAGTGACAGATAGGTGAGTGACAGACAGGTGAGTGACAGGTGAGAGACAGACAGGTGAGTGACAGACAGGTGAGAGACAGACAGGTGAGTGACAGACAGGTGAGAGACAGACAAGTGAGTGAGTGACAGGTGAGAGACAGAAAGGTGAGAAATACAGACAGGTGAGTGACAGACAGGTGAGAGACAGACAGGTGAGAGACAGACAGGTGAGTGAGTGACAGGTGAGAGACGGACAGGTGAGAGACAGACAGGTGAGAGACAGACAGGTGAGTGAGTGACATGTGAGAGACAGACAGGTGAGTGACGGACAGGTGAGTGAGTGACAGGTGAGAGACAGACAGGTGAGTGACAGACAGGTGAGTGAGTGACAAGTGAGAGACGGACAGGTGAGAGACAGACAGGTGAGAGACAGACAGGTGAGTGAGTGACAGGTGAGAGAGAGACAGGTGAGTGACAGACAGGTGAGTGACGGACAGGTGAGTGAGTGACAGGTGAGAGACAGACAGGTGAGTGACAGACAGGTGAGTGAGTGACAAGTGAGAGACAGACAGGTGAGAGACAGACAGGTGAGTGACAGACAGGTGATAGACAGACAGGTGAGTGACAGATAGGTGAGTGACAGACAGGTGAGTGACAGACAGGTGAGTGACAGGTGAGAGACAGACAGGTGAGTGACAGACAGGTGAGACAGATAGCTGAGTGACAGACAGGTGAGTGAGAGACAGACAGGTGAGTGACAGACAGGTAAGAGACAGACAGGTGAGTGAAGGACAGGTGAGTAAAAGACAGGTGAGTGAAGGACAGGTGAGTGAAGGACAGGTGAGAGACAGACAGGTGAGTGACAGACAGGTAAGAGACAGACAGGTGAGTGACAGACAGGTGAGAGACAGACAGGTGAGTGACAGACAGGTGACAGACAGGTAAGAGACAGACAGGTGAGTGACAGACAGGTGAGTGAGAGACAGGTAAGAGACAGACAGGTGAGTGACAGACAGGTAAGAGACAGACAGGTGAGTGACAGACGGTGAGGGTCGTACCAAAGAAGGGTACGCAGGGGGGGTTGATGGAGCGCAGCTTGGCCAGGTACTTCTTGTAGTGGTCCTCACTCAGCTCGTGGGCCTCTTCCAGGATCTTCCTCTGCCGGCTCGGGATTTGCTGAGAACACAACAACTGATTACCATTTGATCTGAAAATAAGGCAGCACCCTGACAGGCCACTAGTGGGCGCTGCTTTACTGCCAATTATTGTTGTTTGTCCCTTGTGGGACAATGTAGTTTCAGGTTGCGGTCGAATAGTCCGTTTCTCTCAGGAACCTTCCTAACGGAGTGAAATTACCCGGAAGTCCCTCAGTGGCAGCCAGGATAAGAGCTAATTCTCTCGATCAGCGGTTTTCAAAGTGTGAGGCGCGCCTCCCTGGGGGGGCGTCAGAGAGCTTCAGGGGAGGGGGGCGCCAGAAATTGTTTAATAAAAAGTATTTAATGTTTTAAGGAGGTGACGCTACTCAGCCAATCAAATTGGTGCAGTCAGTGAGGAATTTTGTGCGCAGTTGAAGAAGAAGCAGCATAACAAGTAGTGGGAACGCTGACACAGCATTCCCACTACTTGTTCTGCTGCACAAAATTCTTTATTATTCCGCCGGGTTATTTTGGCCCTCTTCTCCTCCCGCATTGAACATCGCAGAAACTCCGTTCAAACATCAAAACGTTCAGCTCGGTCGGGAATCAATGGATATTACTTTTCTCATTCATAACTTTCATAATTCCAGAGATACATCCCATAATACATCACATGTTTAACATGGAAGTCAATGGAGAAACTCTTCAGACTTCAACAAATCTTCATGCAACTTCAACTGCTAACTGTTCGTTCATACTTTCACTCAGAAACCTCATTCCAACTTTAACATGTTACACATCTTTCTGACATTATTCGTGTAACACAACTTTTAAATCTGATTCATACTTTTAGAGATATTAAACATTGTTCAGACCTTGGTACAGAGGCCTTCTTCAGATTTAGAGTGCGTGATGTCACAGCTAGAGTGGAGGACAGATTTCATTTTTTTAAACCTGCCATAATTCCCAAACCCTACATTCCTGAGACATAATTCTTCATGACAAACGTAGGAAAACATCTCGTAGCTTGAAAGATAAAAAAAAATTAAGCAAAATGATTAAACAAAATGCCTCTTGAGGGCATGAAGTGACAAAAACGTTCAACATGTCTCCATTAAACTCCATTGTATGTTCAGCCTCATCGATCCCCACCACAGCAGCCGCACACTTTTAGTTAATCTGCCAAAAAGGCCACATTATTAACCCCAAAGTACACAACAATTACACTTCAGATGCTCAAGTTCCTTGACATGCTTCACGTTTTGAAATTTCACAGATATCTGTTACGGTTCTTCAAGAAAACGTTCACATGTAAGAGGTTTATCTCTCATTCAGAACAATGAAAATGCTCTCCTCTCACCGATTACTGCACATCACCATGGAAACCTTTGATCTCTGCACACCCCGTTAGCTCAAATATAAACACCTGTGTCATGGAACCATGCATGGAACACGATGTCATAACTCCACCTGACATGCTCAGAGCAGCAGACCTCAGATAAAGGTTAATGGTCCAGCCCTCAACAGCTCTACGTCAATGATGGGGTGTCATCATATGCCGTTTCCATGGAAACGCATCCCTCGCCATGAAACACGATGTCGCTGTAACTCCAATGGACACGGTCCGATCGCCCCCAAACTTCGCTTGTATATCACCGGTCCATGCCTCAACAGCTCTACGCCAAATCTGAGATCTCACCATAGGCTGTTTCCATGGAAACGTATCCCTCGCCAAAAAACACGATGTTGTCGTAACTGATATGAAAATGGTCAAAACACCACCAGACTTCAGATGACAGTTAATGGTCCAGCCTTCAACATTTCTATGTGCCATTAGTGAGTTTTCCTCAAAAGCTGTTGCCATCCCTTGCAATAAAACACGATATTGCTATAACTCCTATGAAAATTGTCAAAAAGTGCTCAAACTTCACATGTGTGCTAACAGTCCAGCCGTGAAGACATCTACGGGACAGTTTTGAGATTTCTTCAAATGCCGTTGCCATGGCAACCCAATGCTCGCCATGAAACGCGGTTTTCTCATAACTTCAGTGAAAATACTCCAAACAGCCCAAGACTTCACAGGTTTGCTAACGATGCAGCTATCAACATATCTAAGCGTATTATGGGGTGTCATCAAATGCCGTTGCCATGGCGACAGATCATTCGCCATCAAGTTAGTTCAAAAGTTTGCAGTTCAAATATTCTGCTGCTTTTCCAAGCCTTTTTACTTTCTTTTCTTATCTCATCACACATTCAAGCCTCCAGTGTTCATGTTTCATTTCAATCTAAAGTCTTCACTTTCTTCTTACACATTACATTTCAGCATAGCAGTTTAGCGTCAGCTTTTCAGCATAAAGCATTCCCACGAGCAATTTCGTCAGGAATTGCATTCTCTAGTTTCAAATGGCATGCTCAAAAAAGAGAAAGGTAGACAGCAAAAACAGAGCATTTAATGACATTTTCTCTGACTGGACCTCTTTCAAATGCAATTGAATACCCCTGCATTATAGCAGCAACAACAACAATAATAGTAATAATAATAATAATAGCAATAATAATTGGGAGGGCGCGGCTGTTCTTATGTTCTCTGAGGAGAGGCGCGCCTCACACTTTGAAAACCGCTGCTCTAGATGATAGGAAAGGAGGTTTCAAACTTCCTTTATAACCTCCTTTAGCTTAGGAACCACTGGACCTCCCTCACCGAAAGGAGAGGAGAAAATGCTGCCCCACAATGCATTGCAGCCGCAGCATTTGCCGTCACTCAACAGTCGGCCGTTCACGGAAACAACCGATTATGACGGAGAAATGATATCATGAAAGTTACGGTGCTTATTAAGCTTTTTAAAACGTATGTGGTAAGTTGCGAAAGTGCTTTGTTCTGAACGTTCATCAGTATTATAATCAAAGAGAAATATGAACGTTAGTTTTTACTGAAATGATCAAATAAAGTCAACATCTCACAGTCTTTACTGAGCTGTGTGGGGTTTGTTCAACTTTACCCCGCATGACGTCCGCTGGCGCATCATAAATACGTCGATGGTGTGAGTGCAGACTCTCAAAGCAGTCTCTTCTCCTAAGTCCTTTTGATTTCTCTTATCCACTATTCCTTAACCCTGTGACGTTTCACACAGAGTAGAGGAATAATGAATAGGAAGAGACGATAGGAGCTGACTTTTGGACAATTCCACTGCAACCTCAGTGTTGTTCTCTGAGGGACGCCATCTTGGTTCTATTGTTTACATTCTACTACATGCAAGGTGCATCGACTGTAGGTTAGATATATAAAGACCCTCAGGTGAGTCAGTACCTCGAAGCTGAGTCAGTACCTCGAAGCTGAGTCAGTACCTCGAAGGTGAGTCAGTACCTCGAAGCTGAGTCAGTACCTCGAAGGTGAGTCAGTACCTCGAAGGTGAGTCAGTACCTCGAAGGTGAGTCAGTACCTCGAAGGTGAGTCAGTACCTCGAAGCTGAGTCAGTACCTCGAAGCTGAGTCAGTACCTCGAAGGTGAGTCAGTACCTCGAAGGTGAGTCAGTACCTCGAAGGTGAGTCAGTACCTCGAAGGTGAGTCAGTACCTCGAAGGTAAGTCAGTACCTCGAAGCTGTGGTCCAGCCTGTAGACCGGGGACGAGTTCATGGCGCTGACCACCTCCAGAACCCCGTTGAAGTTGTTGAGCTCCTGGAACACCTGCAGGATCTCGATGATCCGCGAAACCACTGCGACACGTTCCTCCAGGTTCTCCGTCTCCACTATGCACCTGCAGGGGAAACATGGCAAACACATTAATGTTCTACTAGATCACAGGGAGAACACATTCATGTTCTACTGGATCACAGGGAGAACACAATCATGTTCTACTGGATCACAGGGAGAACACAATCATGTTCTACTGGATCACTGAGAGAACACATTCATGTTCTACTGGATCACAGGGAGAACACATTAATGTTCTACTGGATCACAGGGAGAACACACTCATGTTCTTTCTACTGGATCACAGAGAGAACACATTAATGTTCTACTGGATCACAGGGAGAACACACTCATGATCTACTGGATCACAGGGAGAACACATTCATGATCTACTGGATCACAGGGAGAACACATTCATGATCTACTGGATCACAGGGAGAACACACTCATGATCTACTGTATCACAGAGAGAACACACTCATGATCTACTGGATCACAGGGATAACACACTCATGATCTACTGGATCACAGGGAGAACACACTCATGATCTACTGGATCACAGAGAGAACACACTCATGTTCTACTGGATCACAGAGAGAACACACTCATGATCTACTGGATCACTGAGAGAACACACTCATGATCTACTGGATCACAGAGAGAACACACTCATGATCTACTGGATCACTGAGAGAACACACTCATGATCTACTGGATCACAGAGAGAACACACTCATGATCTACTGGATCACAGAGAGAACACACTCATGATCTACTGGATCACAGAGAGAACACACTCATGATCTACTGGATCACAGAGAGAACACACTCATGATCTACTGGATCACAGAGAGAACACACTCATGATCTACTGGATCACAGAGAGAACACACTCATGATCTACTGGATCACAGAGAGAACACACTCATGATCTACTGGATCACAGAGAGAACACACTCATGATCTACTGGATCACAGAGAGAACACACTCATGATCTACTGGATCACAGAGAGAACACACTCATGATCTACTGGATCACTGAGAGAACACACTCATGATCTACTGGATCACAGAGAGAACACACTCATGATCTACTAGATCACTGAGAGAACACACTCATGATCTACTGGATCACAGGGAGAACACACTCATGATCTACTGGATCACTGAGAGAACACACTCATGATCTACTGGATCACTGAGAGAACACACTCATGATCTACTGGATCACAGAGAGAACACACTCATGATCTACTGGATCACTGAGAGAACACACTCATGATCTACTGGATCACAGGGAGAACACACTCATGATCTACTGGATCACAGGGAGAACACACTCATGATCTACTGGATCACAGGGAGAACACACTCATGATCTACTGGATCACAGGGAGAACACACTCATGATCTACTGGATCACAGGGAGAACACACTCATGATCTACTGGATCACAGAGAGAACACACTCATGATCTACTGGATCACAGGGAGAACACACTCATGATCTACTGGATCACAGAGAGAACACACTCATGATCTACTGGATCACTGAGAGAACACACTCATGATCTACTGGATCACAGAGAGAACACACTCATGATCTACTGGATCACAGAGAGAACACACTCATGATCTACTGGATCACAGAGAGAACACACTCATGATCTACTGGATCACAGGGAGAACACACTCATGATCTACTGGATCACAGGGAGAACACACTCATGTTCTACTGGATCACTGAGAGAACACACTCATGATCTACTGGATCACAGGGAGAACACACTCATGATCTACTGGATCACAGAGAGAACACACTCATGATCTACTGGATCACTGAGAGAACACACTCATGATCTACTGGATCACTGAGAGAACACACTCATGATCTACTGGATCACTGAGAGAACACACTCATGATCTACTGGATCACAGGGAGAACACACTCATGATCTACTGGATCACAGAGAGAACACACTCATGATCTACTGGATCACTGAGAGAACACACTCATGATCTACTGGATCACAGGGAGAACACACTCATGATCTACTGGATCACAGAGAGAACACACTCATGATCTACTGGATCACTGAGAGAACAAACTCATGATCTACTGGATCACAGAGAGAACACACTCATGATCTACTGGATCACAGAGAGAACACACTCATGATCTACTGGATCACAGGGAGAACACACTCATGATCTACTGGATCACAGGGAGAACACACTCATGATCTACTGGATCACTGAGAGAACACACTCATGATCTACTGGATCACAGAGAGAACACACTCATGATCTACTGGATCACAGGGAGAACACACTCATGATCTACTGGATCACTGAGAGAACACACTCATGATCTACTGGATCACAGAGAGAACACACTCATGATCTACTGGATCACTGAGAGAACACACTCATGATCTACTGGATCACAGAGAGAACACACTCATGATCTACTGGATCACAGAGAGAACACACTCATGATCTACTGGATCACAGGGAGAACACACTCATGATCTACTGGATCACAGGGAGAACACACTCATGATCTACTGGATCACTGAGAGAACACACTCATGATCTACTGGATCACTGAGAGAACACACTCATGATCTACTGGATCACTGAGAGAACACACTCATGATCTACTGGATCACTGAGAGAACACACTCATGATCTACTGGATCACAGAGAGAACACCACTCATGATCTACTGGATCACAGGGAGAACACACTCATGATCTACTGGATCACAGGGAGAACACACTCATGATCTACTGGATCACAGGGAGAACACACTCATGATCTACTGGATCACAGAGAGAACACACTCATGATCTACTGGATCACAGAGAGAACACACTCATGATCTACTGGATCACAGAGAGAACACACTCATGATCTACTGGATCACTGAGAGAACACACTCATGATCTACTGGATCACAGAGAGAACACACTCATGATCTACTGGATCACAGGGAGAACACACTCATGATCTACTGGATCACAGGGAGAACACACTCATGATCTACTGGATCACTGAGAGAACACACTCATGATCTACTGGATCACTGAGAGAACACACTCATGATCTACTGGATCACTGAGAGAACACACTCATGATCTACTGGATCACAGGGAGAACACACTCATGATCTACTGGATCACAGGGAGAACACACTCATGTTCTACTGGATCACAGAGAGAACACACTCATGATCTACTGGATCACAGAGAGAACACACTCATGATCTACTGGATCACAGAGAGAACACACTCATGATCTACTGGATCACAGAGAGAACACACTCATGATCTACTGGATCACTGAGAGAACACACTCATGATCTACTGGATCACAGAGAGAACACACTCATGATCTACTGGATCACAGGGAGAACACACTCATGATCTACTGGATCACAGGGAGAACACACTCATGATCTACTGGATCACTGAGAGAACACACTCATGATCTACTGGATCACTGAGAGAACACACTCATGATCTACTGGATCACTGAGAGAACACACTCATGATCTACTGGATCACAGGGAGAACACACTCATGATCTACTGGATCACAGGGAGAACACACTCATGTTCTACTGGATCACAGAGAGAACACACTCATGATCTACTGGATCACAGGGAGAACACACTCATGATCTACTGGATCACTGAGAGAACACACTCATGATCTACTGGATCACTGAGAGAACACACTCATGATCTACTGGATCACTGAGAGAACACACTCATGATCTACTGGATCACAGAGAGAACACACTCATGATCTACTGGATCACAGAGAGAACACACTCATGATCTACTGGATCACAGAGAGAACACACTCATGATCTACTGGATCACAGGGATAACACACTCATGATCTACTGGATCACAGAGAGAACACACTCATGATCTACTGGATCACTGAGAGAACACACTCATGTTCTACTGGATCACAGAGAGAACACACTCATGTTCTACTGGATCACAGAGAGAACACACTCATGATCTACTGGATCACTGAGAGAACACACTCATGATCTACTGGATCACTGAGAGAACACACTCATGATCTACTGGATCACAGAGAGAACACACTCATGATCTACTGGATCACAGGGAGAACACACTCATGATCTACTGGATCACAGAGAGAACACACTCATGATCTACTGGATCACTGAGAGAACACACTCATGATCTACTGGATCACAGGGAGAACACACTCATGATCTACTGGATCACAGAGAGAACACACTCATGATCTACTGGATCACTGAGAGAACACACTCATGATCTACTGGATCACAGAGAGAACACACTCATGATCTACTGGATCACAGAGAGAACACACTCATGATCTACTGGATCACAGAGAGAACACACTCATGATCTACTGGATCACTGAGAGAACACACTCATGATCTACTGGATCACAGAGAGAACACACTCATGATCTACTGGATCACAGAGAGAACACACTCATGATCTACTGGATCACAGAGAGAACACACTCATGTTCTACTGGATCACAGAGAGAACACACTCATGATCTACTGGATCACAGAGAGAACACACTCATGATCTACTGGATCACAGAGAGAACACACTCATGATCTACTGGATCACAGAGAGAACACACTCATGATCTACTGGATCACTGAGAGAACACACTCATGATCTACTGGATCACAGAGAGAACACACTCATGTTCTACTGGATCACAGAGAGAACACACTCATGATCTACTGGATCACAGAGAGAACACACTCATGATCTACTGGATCACAGAGAGAACACACTCATGATCTACTGGATCACAGAGAGAACACACTCATGATCTACTGGATCACAGAGAGAACACACTCATGATCTACTACAGGGGTGGCCAACCAGTCAGAGGTTAAGAGCCACATTTTTTCTATGTTACTGCAAAGAGCCACATCAAACACACAGGCACTGATACCGCTTGTTTCAGTTTTTTGTTTTCTGGAGACAAGATTTCAACCACGTCACTGATGCATTTTTGTGGCATTGGGATATATATTTTTTAAATCCTCTGGAGCAGAGAGAGGAGCTGTGGATTATTGTTATTGATTAATGCATCAGTGTTTCTCAGGGTCAAAAACACTAAATTCACAACTTCAAATGAAAGCGTTTAGTTTATTTAATAAAAGAGCACATGTTCAATGTGAAAAGTGACAGTAGTTATAGATTATTTGCAATTTGGTGCGATATATATAATTTAAAAAAAATTATATATATTTTT